TAAAGAAAGAAATTAAAGTCTTTCTAGAAATCAATGAAAATGAAGACACAACATGCCCAAAATTGTAGGACACAATGAAAGCAGTGCTAAGAGGAAAGTTCATAGCACTAAGTGCCTTCAAGAAGAAATTTGAGACAGCTCATTCAAGCAACTTAATGACCCACTTAAAAAACCTAGAAAAAGAAGAAGCAGACACACCAAAAAGGAGTAGACGGCTGGAAATAATCAAACTCAGGGCTGAAATCAATCAATTAGAAACAAATAAAACAATTCAAAGAATCAATGAAACCAAGAGCTGGTTTTTGAGAAAATCAACAAGATCGACAAACCCTTAGCCAAGCTAACTAAAAGGCAGAGAGACACCACCCAAATCAACAAAATCAGAAATGAAAAGGGGGACATAACTACAGACATTGAGGAAATCCAAACAATCATTAGGACTTACTTCAAAAGTCTATATGCCACAAAGTTTGAAAATCTAAATGAAATGGACAATTTTCTTGATCGATTTGACTTACCAAAGCTGAATCAGGACGAGGTAAATCAATTAAATAGTCCTATATCCCCCAAAGAAATAGAAGCAGTCATCAAAAGTCTCCCATCCAAAAAAAAGCCCAGGACCAGATGGCTTCAGCGCAGAATTCTACCAGACCTTTAAAGAAGAGCTAATTCCAATTCTCTTCAAACTATTCCACAAAATAGAAACAGAAGGAACATTACCAAACTCATTCTATGAAGCCACAGTCACCTTGGTACCTAAACCTCACAAAGACTCAACAAAGAAAGAGAATTTCAGGCCAGTCTCCCTTATGAACATTGATGCAAAAATACTTAACAAAATACTTGCAAACCGAATCCAAGAACACATCAAAGGTATTATCGACTATGACCAAGTAGGCTTCACCCCAGCTATGCAGGGATGGTTCAATATATGGAAATCCATCAATGTGATCCACCATATTAACAAACTGAAGAAGAAAAACAACATGATCATCTCCTTAGATGCAGAAAAGACATTTGACAAAATCCAACATCCATTCATGTTTAAAGTCTGGGAGAGATCAGGGATACATGGCACATACCTGATCATAGTAAAGGCAATACAGCAAGCCTATAGCCAATATCAAACTCAATAGAGAGAAACTTAAATCATTCCCACTGAAATCAGGGACAAGGCAAGGCTTCCCAATCTTTCCATTTTTCTTCAACATTGTTCTTGAAGTCCTTGCTAGAGCAATAAGACAATTGAAGGAGATCAAGGGGATAAAAATTGGAAAGAAGTCAAAGTATCACTATTTGCAGATGATATGATAGTATACCTGAGTGACCCCAAAAATTCTACCAGGGAACTCCTACAGCTGATTAACACCTTCAGCAAAGTGGCCGGATACAAAATTAACTCAAAAAAATCAGTAGCACTCCTGTATACAAAAGACAAAAGGGCTGAGAAAGAAATTAGAGAAACAAAACCATTCACAATAGCCACAAATGACATAAAGTACCTTGGTGTAACCCTAACCAAGCAAGTCAAAGACTTGTATGAAAAAAATTTCAAGTCTCTGAAGAAAGAATTAGAAGAAGATATGAGAAGATGGAAAGATCTCCCGTGCTCATGGCTTGGCAGGATTAACATAGTGAAAATGGCCATCTTACCAACAGCAATCTACAGATTTAATGCAATCCCCATCAAATTGCTAACACAATTCTTTACAGACCTGGAAAGAAAAATTTTCAACTTCATATGGAACAACAAGAAACCGAGAATTGCTAAAACAATCCTCTACAATAAAAGATCTTCTGGGGGTATCTCCATCCCTGATCTCAAGCTGTACTATAGAGCAACAGTTATAAAAACTGCATGGTACTGGCATAGAAACAGAATGGTGGATCAATGGAACCGAACAAAGGACCCAGAAATAAACCCACACACTTACGGCCACCTGATTTTTGACAAAGATGCCAAAACCATACAATTGAAAAAAGATAGCATCTTCAACAAATGGTGCTGGTCCAACTGGATGTCTACATGTAGAAAAATGAAAATAGATCCATACTTATCACCCTGCACAAAACTGAAGTCCAAGTGGATCAAAGACCTCAACATAAAACCAGACACATTAAATCGGCTAGAAAAAAAAGTGGGGAATACCCTAGAATTCATTGGTACAGGAGAGAACTTCCTGAACAGAACACCAACAGCACAGGCTCTAAGAGCAACAATCAATAAATGGGACCTCATGAAACTGAAAAGCTTCTGTAAAGCAAAGGACACTGTCATCAAAACAAAACGACTGGCTACAGATTGGGAAAGAATCATCACCAACCCTTTATCTGACAGAGGACTCATATCCAGTATATATAAAGAACTAAACAAGCTGAAAAGCAACAAACCAAGTAATCCACTTAAAAAATGGGAAACAGAGTTAAAGAGAGAATTCTCTGTAGAGGAATATCGAATGGCAGAGAAGCACTTAAAGAAATGTACAACCTCATTAGCCATTAGGGAAATGCAAATCAAAACAACTCTGAGATTTCACCTTACACCCATCAGAATGGCCAAGATGAAAAACTCAAGGGACAACACATGCTGGAGAGGTTGTGGAGAAAGGGGAACCCTTCTCCACTGCTGGTGGGAATGTAAACTGGTACAACCACTCTGGAAATCAATCTGGTGCTTTCTCAGACAACTAGGAATAGCTCTACCTCAAGATCCAGCCATACCACTCCTAGGCATATACCCAAAAGATGCTCAAGTACACAATAAGGACATTTGCTCAACCATGTTTGTAGCAGCTTTATTTGTAATAGGCAGAAGCTGGAAACAACCCAGATGCCCCTCAACTGAAGAATGGATGCAGAAATTGTGGTACATCTATACAATGGAGTATTACTCAGCAATGAAAAATAAGGAAATCATGAAATTTGCAGGTAAATGGTGGGACCTGGAAAGGATCATCCTGAATGAGTTGTCCCAGAAGCAAAAAGACACACATGGTATATACTCACTCATATAAACATACAACATAGAATAAACCCACTAAAATCTGTACATCTAAACAAACTAAGCAAAAGAGAGGACCCTAACTAAAATGTTCAATCCCCATCCTGAAAGTCAAAGAGGATGGACATCAGAAGAAAAAGAAAATAGGAAACAACCTCAGAACCTGCTACAGAGGGCCTCTGAAAGCCAGAAGAAAACAGGAAACAACCTTGGAACCTGCCACAGAGGGCCTCTGAAAGCCTCTGCAGTATAGACTGTCAAAGCAGATGCTGAGCCTGATGGACAATTGATGGGCAGAGTGAATGGAATTTTATGTAAGAAGTGGGAAATAGTAAGAGCTGGAGGGAACGGGAACTCCACAAGCAGAGCAACAGAACAAGATAATTTGAACACAGGGAACTTCCCAGAGACTCATACTCCAACCAAGGACTATTCATGGAGATAACCTAGAACCCCTGCACAGATGTAGCCCATGGCAGGTCAGTGTCCAAGTGGGTTACCTAGTAATGGGAAGAGGGACTGCCTCTGACATAATCTGATTGGCCTGCTCTTTGATCACCTCCCCCGGATGGGGGAGCAGCCTTACCAGGCCACAGAAGATGACAATGCAGCCACTTCTGATGAGAACTGATAGTCTAAGATCAGAAAGGAGAGGAGAACCTCCCCTATCAGTGGACTTGGGTAGTGGCATGCATGCAGAAAGGGGAAGGTGGGTGGGATCGGGAGGGGAGGGGCTTATGAGGGGATACAAAATGAATAAAGTGTAATTAATAAAAAATTTTTAAAAATCTAAAAATAAATAAATAAATAAATAAACAAACAAAATGATGAATATCCTCAGTGATCCTATTCTATTAAGTATAGCAACAATCTCTTTAAATATGAGATAACTGAAGAATTTGATTTCAATTCTTTTTCAAGAGAAGTAAATATTCAGCCATTTGAAACACGAATCTGAGGCCCTAGACAGATGAGTGTAGATGTCAGCACTCACGTAGAACACAGTTCTCTAACTGCAGACATCTTTCTCCTGCTCCATCCAATCCCAGGAAACCCTAAGGTAATACAAACTAGGTGAGACATTATAATCTTGATTATTCTCTTCAGATAATTTAAGCGTTCTTGTCAGATGATCAAGTATTGTTCATGTCTTTTAGCTTTGGTGTTGAGGAAGGGCACTTGACAGCTTCTCACATGATCGGCAGGTACTCTGCCACTTAGCCGCCTCCCAGTCCCAAATTAATGATCTTCTGAGAGAGGAGCGCAGCAACTAATAAGCGTATGTCAGCTTCATCAGATTATTGATATTAAATTTTAGCTTTGCCTATGTCTTTAAGTTCTAGTTCTTTATTAATTGCCATTAAAATTTTTGATGGATTTATACGTGAAATTGCTACTGAAAACATTGACTCATTAGATGACCCTGAAATAAAATAATACATTGGGTGACACTAAAATTCCACATTTTTTTTCAGTACTATGGGCCAAGCCAGGACTTAATGAATGCTAGGTGGGTATTCTCCCTTTGAGCTATGACTGTACCCTGAAACTCACATTTTTCTTGCTAAGAATCAAGTAATTCATCTAAGAAGAGATGTGCTGGATGACTATTTAAAGAATGCTAATGAAATATACTTACTCATTTTTTTTCTTTTTTTGTTTGTTTATTTGTTTGAAACAGCATCTCATGTAGCCAAAGCTCACCTTAAACTTACTGTGCAGTTTAGGTAGCCTTGGCTGCTGCTTTTAGCTTCCATGTGCTAAAGTTTCAGGTATCCACAACCATGAACTTCCAATCACTTTTCTTAACGAAGTATTTCTAAATACAAGGATCATATATATCTTCCATCACACTCCAAACAATATTCCTTGATACACCAATAAATATTGAGTTGATGATAAGTAAACTATTCTGTTTCATGTTTGGGCAAGACTAAAGCTCCCCCAGCTATTTCAAGAATATTGAACAATTTCTGGCGCTTTCCCAGGTCACAGACAGATGAAACCCCTCAGCAGCCCCAGCAACGCCAGCACCATCACTGACTTCATCCTCCTGGGCTTCCCCTGCTCCAGGGAGGTACAGAGCTTCCTCTTTGCACTCTTCTCCACTGTCTACCTCCTCACCCTCATGGGAAATGCTTCCATCATCTGTGCTGTGCGCTGGGATCAGAGACTCCACACCCCCATGTACCTCCTGCTGGCCAACTTCTCCTTCCTGGAGATCTGGTATGTCACCTCCACAGTCCCCAACATGTTGGCCAACTTCCCCTCTGACACCAAGGTCATCTCCTTCTCTGGGTGCTTCCTGCAGTTCTATTTCTTCTTCTCCTTGGGTTCTACGGAATGCTTTTTCCTGGTGGTCATGGCATTTGACCACTACCTTGCCATCTGCAGGCCTCTGCACTATCCTGCTCTCATGACTGGGCGCCTTTGCAACATCCTGGTGATCAGTTGCTGGGTGCTTGGTTTCCTCTGGTTCCCTGTTCCCATCATCCTCATCTCCCAGATGTCCTTCTGTGGGTCCAGAATTATAGACCACTTCCTATGTGACCCTGGCTCTCTGTTGGCCTTCACCTGTGTGACAGATTCCCTAACAGAGTTGACTAGTTCTACTTTAAGCTCCCTGCTTTTATTTGTTCCATTTTTCTTTATCATGGGGTCTTTTTTATTCATTGAATGATTTTATTTTTAATGTACAAAATTGTATTTTGATGAGAAAATAATTAGATCAGACAGAGCTTAGCAGTATAATTAGAAGGCAAGAGGTGGTGCACCAAACAGAAAGAAGAAAATGTTTAATAAAAATACATCTTACACTGAAACTGGTGTCCTGGGGTCTTGATATGTGCTGCGAGTCCCTTCAACAGCCGGATGAATAAGGTCTTCTCCTTTTACTTTGGTTAGAGGGCTAACGAGGGCTGGATTAGCTGCAGCCCACAATGACACCCATGCTGGGTGGCCTGTGCATAGTCAGGGTCCTGGTTATGGGGCTGAAGACAATGCCAGAAAGGGAGGAGGGAAAAGCATGAGGTGGGAATTGACCAAGACTTGTTACTGAGCAGTGATGAGCAGTATGTGTTTTTCGAACACATGCAAAGAGACTCCCACCTCTGGATAACTCCTGGGGCTTGCAGAGTGGTGATTAGAACTTGAGACTTGAACATTATGGTCTAGATCCATTTGTGCTGGACTTTTGTGTTTATTGTCAAACTTGGACATTCATGTCTACCAGGTAGTTCTTTAAAAATGGATGAATGAGTAGATGAAACAGTGAAGAATAACTGAAAATATTTGTTGTTGTATTTTAAAAATGATGTGTGTGTTTGTGTCTTTCTCCGTGTATAGTGTATCTGTGTGTTGCATGTGTTTGGTATGTGTGTATATGTGTTTGTGTGCGAGTGAGCTTGAATGTTGTAGGCAGAAGATGACATCAGGTGTTAGTCTTTACCTTCTACCTTGAGCCAGGGTTTCTTAGGATTCTTTTTCACTGTGTGTAGGGACAGGTGTGTGCAGGACTTTCCTGCATGTGGAGTTCAGAGGAAAGCTTTGTGGAGTCATTTCTTTGCTTCCATCTTAATATGAATTCCAAGAAACAACCTGAGGGTGTCGCACTTCATGGCAATCACTGTTGCCAACTGAGCCATCTAATTAGATCCTCATTGTTTTTGCCACTGTGTATGACTGAATACCTGGCCTGGCATTTCTATTGATTATCTTGTCTCTATGTCCCAGCTTACCAAGAGAACACAGGATTAGAGACACATGGCTTTACATGGGTTATGGCAATTCACATGTAGGTTTCATGCTTGTTAGAAAAGCACTTTACCCAGTTAGCTAGTTTCCCAGAATGGTTCTAATTCTTCTATTTATTATTCTCTTTCTTCTTCTCCTTCTCTTTCACCTGATCCTGCTCCTCCTCATCCTTCTGATTCTGATTCTTTTTCTTTTGCTTCTTCTGCTTCTTTTCCTGCTCCTGCTCCTACACCTGTTCCTTCTTCTGATCTTATTCTGCTTCTGCTTCAGTTTTTTCTTCTGCTTCTACTTCTGCTAGTTCTGCTTCCTTCTCTTTCCCTTATTCTTTCCTTTTTCTTTACTTCTTCCTCTTCTTCTTCCTCATTACTTATAGTATCATTTCTTTAATTTTTATTTTAATATTAATTTTTATTTGTTTTTCCAAGACAGGATTACTTTGTAGTCCTGGCTGAACTAGAATTAATTATATAGACCAGACTAGCCTTGAATGCAGAAATACGCCTGCTTCTGCCTCCTGATTACTGGATTAATATCTTGTCCAACCACTCCCCAACTATTATTATTATTATACTATTATTCTTATTTGTACTTTTGAGACAGGGTTTTTCTCTGTAGCCCTGTATGCCCTGAAAATCACTTCATAGACCAGGATGGCCTGCATCTCACTGGGATCTCTCTGTCTTACTTCCCTGTTTTGGGATAAAGGTGTGTAAGATGATGACCCCGGTATTTTTATACATAATATATTTGTAAGATTTATTTTTATGTTCCCTGGCATGTTAAAGGTCTTCCCAACTGTATTTTAAGTCAATATAGGATGGTTAAGAAATCAAGTCAACTTAGAGCTGACCTTCTTCTAGATCGTAGCTGATGGGGCTGGTGAGATTTCTCACTTTAGAAAACTATGTGTTGTCAAGCCAGGTGACCCGAGAGACAGGAGAGAATCAAACCCTACAAGTAATCTTCTGACTTTGCACTGAAGCCTTGGCATGTGCATGTCCACATGTGTGCGTGTGTGCCCACACACAGACAAAAACACATACAGAAATAATTATGTCAAATAAATTAGAAAGAAATTAAATATTCTGCTCTGACAAAAATTGAGTTGTTCATTCCAAAATGGCAGGAGAAATCAGGTAGGCTCCAGCCTTCAGGTAACAAGATAAGTGAACTTGTAGTTGACATTGCCCTAAATATATAAGATTTTCTTTTCTGACACAAGGTCCATGTAGGGTCATGGTTCAGTGGCTCAGCTGTAGGTGCACATGCCAAACTTTTACCCGCCCAGGGTTCCATCTCCAGCACAAAACCCAAAATTTAAAGGAAACATCCAGTGGACAATAAGAAACTCATACAGTAGCTGACTTGCACTGTCAAGCATTCTTGAGGGAGGTGCCTCCTCATTCATTTTGGGATAATGTAGCCACTTGAGTGCCAGGCCTTCCAGCCAGAGAAAAAGAGAGGAGAACCTGACCTTTAAGAGAGTTCCCCACAGGGACTTGTCATTTCTGTTTACATCTTTTCAGCCCCTCTTTATGTAGCCAGAACATATCTAAGGAGGCTGGACAATGTTCAACTTTGGGTGGACTTGTGACTAGCTATATGTCGGGAGCCCCGCTGGTAGCAAAGAGACAATATGACAGAAGGTGAGAAACAGGCCTATCTTAGCCTTCTCCTCCTGGGTAGGACAAAGGTCAGAATATGCCCCATAGACCTGTCAGAATAGAAGGTAGCTGGGCATGGTGAGACAAAAGATCACTCCTGAAAACAAAGACAAGGCAGACCTCAAATGCTTCTTCACAAGTGCCTTTGGCTTTCTCCCAAATGTGAGGCCTGAGGACAGTGTGTGTGTGTGTGTGTGTATTAGTGATATTTAAATCAGATCACATTCACTTAGCAATAGCAAGCCACCTCTGGTGGTTTGAATAGGTATGGCCCTCATTGACTCATGTGTTCGAATATTTGGTTATACGGAAGGGCACTATTAGAGGTGTGCCCTTGTTGGAGTAGGTGTGGCCTTGTTGAAGGAAGTTCAACATTGTGGAGGAAGTTTTTGAGAATATTTATGTTCTCCTAAGCCTTATGTTACACAGTACCCTTCTGCTGCCTGTGGGTAAAGACAGAACTTTCAGATCCTTTTTAGCACAATGTTTGCCTGGATACTGTAAAAACCTTGATAAGAAAAAAAAAAGTCTTCATCAAAGCAGTATAAGGAGTAGCCACAGTACTTGTAGCCTGAAGCACAACAGAGGTGAAGGGCATGTGTGTTCAAGCCTGGGACATATGATAGACAGTTGAAGCTGCCCTTTTGCCATGGATGAGCTCAGAGTATAGGGAGCAAGTGTTTCTTCCAGGTGACTGTTTTGTAATTTATGGAATGGATGTGACTTCTGACCCTGGAGGTGAGTCAGAGATTTAAGGTGTAGAGGAAGTAATCCTGTGGGTCCCCAGACAGTTGTTGGCAAACTAGGCATTTAAAATCTCATCAGCCAGAGAAACAGGGAAAATCTCTGGTTTCTATCTGCCATAAATCACCACCTCTTTCTGAGCTCACACTAACAGGAAAAGGTCCACATACTGTCCACACTCTGGACAGTACGTAGAGATTAGGTGCAGACCACACTACCAAGTTATGACACTATTGAGTGGGTCTCGTGTAGCCTGAAGGAATCTGTGGCCGGCTGTGCTTTGGATGGCTTGCTAAATGCTACCACGTGGGTAGATTAATCTAGCTGCTTCTACTGGTGCTAGCGTAGGTAGATGATAGATTTATATTAGCCTTTCCCAGGCAAAACTTTCCTTATTGACAGTGTAAGCTGAGGCCCCTCTTTCTCTCTCCTAGATAGCTAAAAATTCTGAGTCTTTAAAGCAGAAAGCAAGCCATGCTCAAGACCGGTTTGGGGCAGGCAAACTTATGGCTGAATGCATTCATCCAGGCTGCCCTATAATTGCTGTCGAAGATAAATAGAGTTCCAGACATGGGCTGCCACTCAGTGGTGGAGTGGTTGTCTAACATGCACTGTTCCCTAAATTCAATCCTAACTCTAGGGGATACAGGGCTTTAAAAGTTTTTTGAAAGTTTTTTAAAAGTTTTTTAAAAGTTGTAAAAGTTTAAAACACAAATCTGTCAACAAAAGAGGAGGTTCCATTGCCACTTTTAAGTCCTCAAAGCTTCAGATTCTCCACTGGCTCCTTGATGGTCTCTTGCAGTTTGACATGTATTTTCACTAAGGTGAGCTTTCTGTCTTGGTGTGGAAGGAATGTGTTCATTGCCAATACAGCACAGATTCATATATAGAGAACATAAATACAGATACATAGTTTATAAAACTCCTGAATTGAGATGACTGTCTGGAGAGTTGGCTCAGCATGTTAAAGTACTTGCTGCAAGCTATGGAACTGAATTTCTTCCCTGAGACCCACAAGTTGGGTCAAACCTTCTAAGAACTGTTTTGTGATCTTCATGTGTGTGTACATGCGCACCTATGAAAATAACATAACATTTAAATGTGACTTGGAAAATTAATGTCTAGCAATCCTGCAGACCTTTGTGCTTTACTGGTAAACAATGAAATGCTGAGTCATTTCATCTGAAATGTGACAGTGTGGCTGTTCTCCGTGAGGCCATGGTGTACATCAACACCATGGAGAACAGCAAGAGGTCCCTGTACTGCACACTGCAGTCCCCAAGGTGAGGCAAATTCTCCTCTCATGGAGTAGCTATCAGGGGTAGGACCTGTGATAGGGGTCACTATTGAGAGCAAGGAGCATACCCCTTCAGAACCATATTGTTAAATGATCGGCCAGTTGTTTGCCTCTGCTCCCACACACCAACTCAGCCCATTAGGTGTCTTTGTATTCTCTCATCAGCTTGATTGTAAATGGTCCCAGTTCCCTGAGGTGCATTTC